ATTTCCAAAAATTAGATAAGATCGGAGAAGAAAGGTCTGCGGTATAAATGCATAGATTAGTTAAATAAATTTTCGCAGCGATTTTGGAGAATTTTTGGATCCACAAGTTAAAAATATAATCTTGATTATTTCAGAAAAAATTAAAATATTGAGATTAAAATATAACCCTCCGAAATTTTACTAGTATCGTCAGATGTGCCCGCTTATAATGAGTTAGCGCTACAAAACAAAAATTTTGCATGTAAAGCTACTTATGTTTATATGAATGCATGTATAATATGTCTTGACATATGCGATTTATGTTGTGGACGTAAATGCCGGCATTCAGCACCATTCGTTGATCTGCTGATCTTTGGCGCTTGTCGTCATCGTATATAAATAACGGCATTTATGTAGAGTAGAAAACAATTTCGAAATTATTAACGTCATTTAGCCATAAGACTATCAAAAAAAGAAGGATAAAACACTAGCAAACTGCGAGAGATTAAGCACAAAGACGATAGATATTGGCACCTAACGGGGGGTACATAATATTATATACCCTACAAGAAACTGATGATAGATTTGCCAATGCACTCACATATTTATGTCAGCCGTGATGTACAGTTTACTTGTCAACTAGCCGTCACTGCTTTTGCTGAAAAGATACACCTACGGCTTTTAATGCTTACTATAGCTTTACATAAGTAAGAATGAAATAGCTGAATTTTTTTGTACCGTCACCACTGACAGTCAAATGAACAGTAAAATAAATGTCAATGTGTACTATTTTTCAAAAAGCAAATTTTGTGTACACCAAAAAGAGACATGCATAAAGAATACTCGGCAGCATTTCTTAAAATTAGACGCAAACACACACACATACGTTTGTTTACAACAGTTTTTGCACAAGGCTCTTAAGAAAATGATAGAAACTTTGTTTTGCGCGCTGACAACATTTTTTCAGCTGTGACTGTCAAATTACCGGTCAGATTACTGTCACTGTTCTTGTAGGGTATATATGTACATTAGGGTGGAGCGAAAAAAAAATTTTTCTTTGCATAGCCTGGGGGTAAAATCTGTAGATTATAAAAAAAAAAAAATTTTTGGACAAAAAAAATTTTTTTTAACACCTAGAGGCGGCGCCCTCAGTTTTAAAGTAAACTTCGAGTTAAAAGGCTAAGCCAAAAAACAAAATTCGCGCCAGCCTAATGTACATATGCATAGCATTAAAGCGAATTGCGCCAGAATGTGCACAATTGTAAAACCATTTATCTCCAAATATATAGATACCTACATATGTACATACACGCATTTATATAGACTTGCATATGCACACAAAATGAAAGTATACATGTGTGCGTGCATATTTTAGCTTAATTTAATTTCTGTTTTTTTTTCTGTTTTCAAAATACTCGCTATGTGTGTAATCCTGTACAAAGATTTTTATGTGTGCATGCATGCGTTTGTATGCTTAGCATGCTAAAATGTTTGTTTTTGTACTTGTACGTACGCCAGCAAACGCTCTTTGTTTGTTTTGGCCAAAAAACAATGAATGTTGGCCGTTCGACTTTTCTGCTATAGATTTTGAAACCCGTGTCGAAAAACATGCACACGCATACACACACAAAGCTAGAAGTTGGCTAAGAAGCAATTGCAAAAACAACAAAGAATTCAAAAAAGACCAAAAAGATAAATAGTAGCTTATACGCAATGGCTTTCGTGCGATTGTGCGCTGTAGGAAAAGATTTAATTTGGTAAAAAAACTTCTATTAGTTGAAAATGGTTATTATAACGGTAAATATAAAACAAACTATTAAATACAAACTACCAAATATTAATTCCGAACTGTAAAATTTTCCTACACGGTGCTCGTAGAGTACAATTATTTATTTGTACACTTGCGTTTGTGGGCACACATATTCTATACCACATACATACGTGTGTATGTCATGCAAATTCACTTGTAGTCGGGGAATTTAATGCTGGGCAAATTTCAGTTGGCGAAAGCACATTCTTCCTGGACCCAGTTTGGTTTTCGATTGGAAGCGAAAATAAATATAGCAGCGATCAGCTCAGATTAAAGTCTATGTGCGATGCTCACGAGTTCATATACACATAGACATGTTTGTATATACTAATACGTGTGTGTGTGTGTGTATTTTTAACTCAGTATGCGGGTCAATAAACCCTAACCAATTACAAAAATTGGAAGCTCTTCATTTGAGCTGTTTTTCACGAAATAAAATATTGTGTGGGATATATCCTTCGATGAAATTTATTTGACAGTTCTTGCGAATGAAAGCCAATTTTCGTCTGCAGAAATCTATAAATAGGTTCTAGTTTATCAAATGACTAAAATCGTTATTGTTAGGGTAGACTGGTATATATATTTTTCATTCTTAAGAAAGTCTGATCTAAGTGACTGCAAAGAATCTGGACGTTTATTCGTCCCAGAATAGTAAACTTTGCAGTACCAATTTCAGAAATACTATTTTCTATTCACAAATTCTTTAAATCAGTGCAGCGCTGTGAGTGTGTGTATTACCTCTTGGAACCTTGATTCGAAGACCACACTTTTACTTATTGAGTACGACACCATAAAAGACCGATTTTTATTCGGCTAAGGGCTGTCTACTCGGCAGCATTCCTTAAAATTATCTGGGATATTTTTTGCAATAACTACACTCGTACTCCGTTCTCACGACAGTCCGGTTTACGTAATTGCAACGGACCCGTATTTTTATTGAGTGTAGAAATTTCTACTAGCCAGCATTCTGCAGATTCATACTGTCTGCCGGATAGTCTCTGACAAATTATATGAGAAATATGGCAGCATGAACTATCACCTGAAAATTTTGTAGAGGCATTACACGGATATCGAACTTAAGGAGATCACACCATATGACGGCCTGTTTTTAGGGATTTTTTCAACGACCACTAAATAGATAAAGCTTATTATCACTTAATAACATATATTTCGACAGCATATATATAAATATGAAACTAAAAATATTGTGCAGAACATGAGTTACAGCCTGCAGCGAACACGCTCGCCTCGAAAAAATGAACTCGCACTTCCTTCACGATTCCGGCTGATTGGCTTATCTGAAACAAAAAAATTAGCGGCGTTTTAGCCAGTAAACCTAAATGCACGAAATGGACTATTATCAAATGAATATACCAGAAATTGGACTTTTGGTAGACATTTGAAAAAAAAGTTACTAATTTTTTGTTAAAAAAATAGAATGTTTGAGAATTTTTATTAATAATAGTTCATTCCTTACATTCGGTCAAGTCATTTTTGAGATACAATTGAGGAAAATTTAAAAAACGCGTTTCAAATTTCAAGTCTGCTTGAAACAGCTCTGAACAGCTCCTGCTTCTAACTGCTGCATCTTTAAAACGACTTCGAATTTTTAAAAATCCCTTTACCACCGTATTCTAGACATGTTAAAGCAATTTATCAAAACAAAATCGAAGTTTTAGAGCTCTTTACATGGGATGACACCTTTAAGATAATGACACTTTCATAAGCAATATTTATTGATTTATTTTATAAGTTCCGTATGGCATTTCAACAAATATAACAAAAATTTGAACACGATCAGTGCGCAAAAACCATACGATCAACTAATTAGATACATACGAACATAAGTAGATAGGTCAAAATCGCCTACAGCGACATACCAGCGTGCAGCTATGTACATACCGTATGTAGATCACCGAGGCGTCGACTGAGACAGAGTAAACTTAAGCGCCTGCTCTGCATGCTACCGACGTGCCGCTGCGGACAAGCAATGTTAGCGCTCAGCAGTGGGCGTTTAAACATTTACGTTTACAAAGGGAAAACACAAGTACACATACATATGTATGTATATACAGTCAAACCTTAGTACTAGAGAACTGGGTAAGCGAAACAACTCTATAAGTGAGAATAATTCTCAGGTCCTGAACTTTGACCTCTCAAAAACTTCTATGAGTGAGAAACAAAAACCTCCATAAGTGACAGTCGTTTTTCCCATTCTGATCTCTATAACTGAGAGTCTCTTTTGCATTATATTTAACTCTATAAGCGACAATTTTCCTATGTACAACAATAGCTCATTCTTTTTTTCAAGAAGAAGGAATCAGGAACTATGTTTTCTTGTAATTCAAAGAAATAATATTTAACTGTATTAACTTATTTGTCATGCTCACTGCAGTTCATGAATATCATTTGCAACGAACAGTACAGCTCTTACAACAATTTATAATGTCCAATGATGATAAACGCATTTGAGTCGGGAAAATCAAGGTGTGAAATACGAATTGAATTTGGATTACCGGAATCTACCTATTATAAAAATTAATTACTCCATAAAGTCCCAGTGCTCCGAGGATTAGTGATCTAGACCATTAGTGAGAAACCTCTAAAAGCGAGAAAAAAATGATGGTCCCGTGAACTCTCTCTTTACTGGGTTTGACTGTACATGCAAAAATATATATGAGCAGAAATACAAATATAAATATAAAGTATACATACATATGTGCGAGTAACACAGGCGTCAATTTATTATACCGACTTTTTGCGAAAAGTGCTGAAAGCCTAAGAACAAAATATAAATAAATAAATAAAAATTGCAAATAAAAGCCAAAGCGGCAAAATGTGAGATAAATGCGATGTACGACAGACAAGAAGACGGTCAAACCATTGCCAGACAATGAAATTGACAGGCCAAGAGGAGCCGGTTGCTGGTAGCACAGATTCTTGAAGATAGCAAAAAAAGTCAATATGAAGTGTAATGTAATGAGTGTGTGTGAGTGCGCGTTAAGGAGGTCAGAAAAAGAGCATTGTCTTAAGTATCGTTGGATAATTTAAGCACTAACAAAGATGTAAGTATGTACATAAGTTTGTATAATCGTGTTCAGCCCTACAATAACTGGGTGGAATCACTTTTGTTTCTCACAGCACAACCTTTTAGGAGATACAGCGATATTGTAATTAAATAGTTAAATAATAATTATATCGTTTTACATACCCGTTGAATATGCAGCATTAATTTGTAGATTTTCACTTTCGTTCGTTTGAGTAGGTTGTTATGTACAGATGGATATGCTATAACTTTGCCGGACGCTGTTAAGGAAAGCAGCTTAACTAAAATTTATATGTTGTGTCACGTACGTAAATATATGTATTTTACAGACTTAACGTTTCACTTTTTACACTTCACGATTATACTTTGTCGATGGCAGTCATTTGGTGTGCCTTTCCGTTAAAAACGTTTCACAAAAGTACAACCCGTACGGTTTTCTTTAATTGAAAGTATGCCGACAGCGTGACGGCTTTTAAGGTATTTACATAGCATGTATGTAAACAATCGTATACATATTATATATTTCTTTAGTGGATTTGACAGCCCTAGGAGAGAAAAGTTTTATTTGTTATCGCTGGTGTTTGAAAGCACTACGGATTGTGTTCGCAAACGGGAAACTTGTAAGAACATTACAAACTACAGTGCAGTAACATGTACAGATTCCACTACTATTTACTAAATTTTACCATTAGGCGCATATATATTAAAATATATTGTACACAAATTATTTAATTTTTTTTTAAATATACACTTTAAATCTACAGATTATTTATTGTACACAAGTACAAACGAATATATTTATAGTTTTAGCACTTATTGCTTATTTTCCACTGTTTTTAGTTCTTTGTTTCTATTCTGTATTGTTAAATAAGGTTAAACTCTGTCTGTGTCAACGTCGGCGTTGGCAGCGCCGCTTGGTAGAACAAAAAATTACCGAAAATTAACTAAACACTAACAAAAGCGCTACCAAGTTCGATACAACCTCGTTGATTAAGGCGCTAAAAAGACAACAACGAAAGCGATGGCAAAGGCGGAATAGCGACTAAATTAACGATACTGCAAAAACAAGTTCATAGAACATCTGATTTGGGCGATAGTGTGGGTGGCTACTACTGAGTGAATGTAATAGTTTTCTTATTGGGGCAGTTGGTATATGAATACTTGGTATATAAGGAAAATGCAACGTACGGAGTATGGGGATCATGTACAACACCAACAACACCGTATTAACCAAGAACGCAAGTGGAAGATGTTTGTTTTTGGGTATTTAGGATGCTCTGAAAATATTCATACATACGTTTATTATTGCCACCGATGCTACATCGTATATTTCGTAGATGCGTGCGGCAAGGGGCGTAGTTGATATAAGTAAGTATTTGAAAATGGATCTAGTATCGTGCGCTGCTCCCACTAGGTGCACGCTCTTACTCTGCAATTTCGTCTGTGTCCGCTCTTTTAACGCTACACTCGAAAACGTTGTGCACCAGACGTTTCTAAAATTACACAATTCAACTTATTGCCCAACTTTTTCAAAACAATTTTTTGGCTTTGTCACTTGTACTATGGAAAAATAAAATATTTTTCGTATTAACTTTCTTGGGCGGCATTAAGCCTTGGTCAAATTCTAATTGACATTTGTTTTTGTTTGCTACACACATACATATATCGATAATTATATCCACTTTTAGACACCGTACACTATTAAATCCAATCAGAAAACACAAACCGCATCGAGACGGGGAACGAAGCCGACTGAAGCGTAGACGCTGCGCCTTGAACATTGCGTCGCCGTTGTCAATGTGCAACAGTGTTGCCGTTGTAAAACACTTGAGGCTTTCAAAAGTAACAATGACACTAATTTTGTATGAAAAAAATTACAGAAAAACTTGGAAAAAAATTGACGAGGGTGATTCGTTAACATTAGATTCCTGAATAATCTCTGATTTTCATAACATATTATTTCAACTTAATATTGTTTATACATTGTGCAATGTTGAATACATTGTCCATCGACTGATTTGCAACACTGAGGGTATGTTCAATCAAATAAAACTTGGCTTCAAAACTATTTAAAATTACTTCGCTTAGGTGAATGATGTTTATAAATAGACGATCCTTTCCAAGTAGAGACCCAATATGTCACTACTCGATTTTGGATCAATCATTGAAACACATGCTTCCTAGCGCTTCAGGCAGAAAAATTAGTTGAGTAAGGAAAAGATCTAGGAGGTAAGTATCAAAAACATTTATTAACCGAAAGTAATAGATAATTTATTTTCATAAGACTTTGTAATATTCGCTGTAAATATTTAATAACAAATTATCAGGTGTCAAAGTATATATGTTAGTCACTGTTGGTGAAATACTTTTTATGATAGGGAACAAAATTATTAAGGTCCCATTCACCATCTTCATCTCTATTTAAAATCGATAGACTGCGTAAACCAAATGTATTTTATGACGAGGATCGATAATTATTGCAATAAAATTGCAACTCTTCATTCGCAGCGGGTGTAATCAAGAAAATGTTTATAGTGGCTTTCGAATGTGCGCGCCGGTGAAAAATCCACAAAAAGTGCTATTATTAATACTTCAAATCAGCAAAATATTATATTTACTAAATCTAATGTAATACGAAGTAGTTACATGATCCATAAATGGAGGAAAACATTAGCAACATGATGAGTGATGGTTCAGCAGATCCCATCATCACAGTTACACTGGAGTCCTCAGGTTAGCAATCAAAATAATGGTGTAACTTTACTAATTATTAATTATCACCACTCCTCAAACTTACAGATGGAGACGCGAATGTTGTAAATCTTGATGCTGCTACTAGGAGTCTATTAATAAAGGGCGGACCCGGTACCAATTTACAAAAATACATTACATCGTCAAAGGTAGGTTGCAAAAATGATAAGTTGACCGAATTGTAATTTGATTTTCTTACTTTTACAGAATTTCTGGATAGAGCTGCCGCAAATGATAATTGTAGAAACACGCTTTATTACACAGCAGATAGCTGCACAAAATCGTATATATTCTGCACAAACATTACTACCCATAACTGATTATAGGTTTGAGCTAGACGCACAAAATACTCTCTGCCCAAACGCCACACAAACGAGAACTCCACCAGAACTATTAGAGGTTGGCTCACTAGCAAAACCCGATGTTGTTGATGTCGGTGTATGCACCGACAGTCCAAATCCCTGTCGCGATCGGGCACAACAAACAGCGAAAACTATAATACAAACTACGACAGTAGGCATTCAATGCAATTTAGATGAATATTTGGTATGTGAGGAAACGACAACTTATGAGAATGAGTTGAAGGCAAAAAAAAGCGCTGAGAAACAGCAATTTATGAGATTTACCCGAGAGAATTCTATATTTTACTTGAATGGTAGACGGGAGTGCATGTTATGTGGAGAAGTTGAGGACACAATGGAAAGAATGCTTTCGCATTTAGCACTCCATTGGGGTCCTGCGGCGCTGTGCCATCTATGTGGTTTACAATTTGAACATCGCAGATTATTGTCATTGCATCAATGCAAAATGGGTAACCACAAAATTAATAAAAAGAGGAAAAAAATGTACAAACAATGTCCCATTTTCTGGTGTGGTGCCATGAATGCCTCAACGAAAGAATTAAACGAGCACTTACGTAGGCACTTCCTTATGCGACGGCGACGCGCTTGCGTGACTTTTACACTCGATCAAACGATAGTAATTAAACGGCCTTTTTATACAAAAATAAACTGTTTAAATCGATGTAATGTTTGTTTGCGTCGATATAAAAGTTCTCAAAAATTTACTAAGCATAGAAAGCGTTGCCTGAGGAGCTTCATAGCGCAACTGAAGGAGCAAAAACCTGTTGAACCCCTACTAATATTTAGTAGAAAATAAAATCGTCAAATATAATTGATACATGCATTCTCAAAATCAGTGAAATGACACAAAAAAATCGCGATAAAATGTAAAAAAACTCCTATTATCTATACAAACTGTTAACAGCTGAACGACCATAAGTGTACTACAATTTAAACATACGATAATCTCTTCGTAACACTATACATATGATAAATGCTCAATTTACGAATTTTAGTTCATAGGATTTATATATTTTTGGAAATGTTTAAAAAAAAAATAAACAATGTAATATTAATGAATACCCTAACTTATCAGTATCAGATTACAACATATATTTGTTGTTCTTCTCTGACAAATGTTTTGAAGAGCGTTTTGCATCCAGGAATAATGAGTGTACATCGTCAATATCCTCCTTTGTAATTTGTGTACGGCCATTCACTTTGGTCATTTGGTGTGCCGGTGTTAGCAATTGCACCGCGTAACGTAAAGTCGATGTGCTACCGATTTCGCTAAGACGACTAAACGCAGTATCTTCCAGTTGTAAGCCCTCAGTTTGCGCGCGTAGTTTAATAATTTGTTCCATTTCTGAGGATGAGTAAGGCAATGTGCGTATAATTAGCAAACGATCCAGCAAATCTAAAGGTACGCCATGTGGAGATACAATATCTGTGGTGCCACTGCAAAGTAAGGTTATTCATTTAAAATTTGATCACTCCCAACGAATGTATAGAATCACTTACCGAATGACACAGCGTCCACGGTTTGTGGCAAATATGACAATGGGCGCGATAGGCGATTCAAGTGATTTATGCAAATACGTAAAGGTTTCCAAGTCGAGCATATGTATTTCATCAATAAAAAGCACACCTGGTACAAGTTCAGCGATGCCCTGATCTATGTACTTATTAACAACTTTGTTGATCTCCATTCTCAATTTATCTGCAAAAATCAGGATGGCACTATGAAATATATCATTTAATATTTCACTACAAACCTGTAATTTCCGTTTTCTTCGGCTTCATCAATTGCCCCATCATTGAGAGTACGTCCTGTCCACCCTGTGGGCGCGCGTTAGCTACGTCCAAATCATGTAAAGTGACATCCTGTATCACTTCTTTTTTTTTGTGTACATCACCCTTGGGTAAGGGAACATATTCCTCGGTTTCTAAATCGAATTCGGTTGCAAAAGTGTCACTGCGACCCTGACGTTTAACGGCACCACTATTCGCTTCGATGTAAATAACATCGCCAACCTCTACTTTTTCTTTTTGTAGCGACTCGAAGATACTCGGATCCAGTTTTAATTGTTTTGTACCCTTAGCTGTTTTCAGACCAATTACTACATTGCTAATAGTTTTCCCATAACCACCCATTGGATTCTCCGTCTCTACTGGTGTCAACTCAGTTACTTCGCCCTCATATACTTCTTTCGTCTCACGTATGCGTAGTCCAATCGAACGACGGAAGTTCTCCATCAAAACCTCGGTTTTCTTGATTTCGCTACTGAAAACTTCAGAACCCACCATGGGACAGAAGGGTACCTTGTTACCCAATTCTTGTGCTATAGCAAGTGCTATTGCTGTTTTGCCTGTGCCTGGCGGTCCAGCTAGTAACAATGCACGTCCCGCCATTTTCTTTGATTTTATTAGATCCACGGCGATACCAGCAGCCTCACGTGCAGTCTTTTGACCTACTAGACCTGCTCCGATTGGTAGTGGTACGCCACTCTCATCGAGGCCTAGACCCTTCACGTGGCTATGCGCCGCAATACGCTGTGTTCGCACAGTACTTTTTACTTCTTCGATCTTCATATCGAATGAGTTTTGTGTTTCTTACAAGTGATGAACTTACTTTTTTTTAAATTATCGATCAAACTTAAAATTCTTTTCTAGAATATTTAAAACACTTTTTGACATTTAGTGCGGCGCACGCTTTTGTTGCTATTGCGGCCGGTTGTCAAACGACTGACAGTTGCCAGGCAACATATTTTCAGATACACGAAGCTTATTGTAGGCAAAAATTTGTTGGACAGTTTGAAAGCTGTGGTAGTTTATTACAAGGTAATAAAACACAGGGTAAAATCTGTTGAAAAAATTTAAACAACAAATAAGGTATATAAATTAATTAATTGCTTCTAATACTCTTTAAAATATTTAATTTTCTTTAAAAATTTCCATCCAAGAACTTGTTTTTGATTGGTCAGTTTGCTTAGCGGCTACATACTTATATACTATCGAGGTTTGGATATTATTCCGTTGCTTTCAATAATAACCAAACTTCGTGAAGATATCATGGCGAATAAAAAAGTTTTCCATACAAGAACTTAATTTTTACATTTCAGTTTGTATGCCAATATATATGTACTATATGCTATAGTGGTTCGATATCGGTGTATTCAAAAAATGATTAGTTTCTTGGGGCTAAAAGATTGCATGCAAAATTTCAGATCGATATCGTAAAAACTGTCTGAATAGTTCACGTTTATACAGACAGACGGATAGACGGACATGAATAAATCGACTTATCTCATCATGCTGATCACTTATAGTATATACATTTTACGTTTCTTCTAGGTATTACAAACTTCGTAGCAAACTTAATATACTATGCTCAGCGTATAAAAACGGCGAAAGCGAAAGACTTAAGTAAAACATACATATGTGTTCAGAGTTAATCAGTTTCTTTCCAACTTTTCTCGCTTTCTTTGGAAAGAACTTTAAAATCTCTCATTCTAAATCCACAACTACACTATTCACTGACTGGACGAGAAATTACATAATACTATAATTGATTATAGATTTGAGTTAGACGCGTCCAAACGACATACTCTTTACAGACTGCGCTGTAATATCTTGGGAGCAAACTCCTCTCCAAACAGTTATAGCTCGATCTATCCTGCAATATGCTGGCAACATACAATATCTGAACGGCCAGACTTCAGACGCGACAATATTTAAACAGGTATTACCGCCATTCACTCAGCGTTCTGTCTATTCCACTAATGAATATTCTGGGAGTTATAAAATCATCTATTGCTGAAGTATCTTTTTATGCCCCCTCTTAAAACTACCATTAAAGTAATCGATTTTTAAGAGCTGTTTTTCAAAACCTCTGAAGCTCGGTCAACAAATTTTTACGAAAGCCTGTTATCAGTGACTGAACAGCAAAAACTATTTTAGATGAAGAAATTCAAATTTTAATTTTCTATTTTTTTATTTTATACTTTTTTGGTCTTAAAATTTACACTATTTAAAAAACAAAACATTATCAAACGAAAAAAAAAAATCCAATATGGTGTGCCTATAGGTCGGGTAGGATAGGCGGGCAAGTACAAACCAAATGCTTATCGCCGTAGGCATCGTCGATTCTTCCCACAGTGGGCCAAATTTTCGAATCGGGCTTCACAAATAACTGTACATACAAAAAAGTGATTAGTTTCGAAAAGAGAATAACAAAATAGTATACTTACCGCCGGAAAGGCGGCCAGTTCGCGGGTATAAGGTCTGTTCCATTTGTCCGAGATGACCTGTGCTTGTGTGTGTGGTGCCATTTTCAAAGGATTCACAACCTTATCCATGCGTCCCTCTTCGATCTCGGTAATCTCCTCACGTATTGAAATCATCGCATCACAGAAGCGATCCAACTCTTCTTTGTCCTCAGATTCTGTAGGTTCAATCATTAATGTGCCTGCCACAGGCCAAGACATAGTGGGCGCATGGAAGCCATAGTCCATTAAACGCTTTGCAATGTCTACCGCCTCTATATTGGCCGATTTCTTCAGATCGCGTAAATCGAGAATAAACTCGTGCGCCACAAGTTGACTCGTCGATGACTTATATAAGGTTTTATAGTGATTTTCCAAACGCTTCGACATATAGTTTGCATTAAGAATGGCTACCTGGGTGGCACGTTTAAGTCCACGGCTACCCATAAGTTTAATGTAAGACCAGGAAATTGGCAAAATTGCGGATGAGCCGAAAGGTGCTGCCGAAACTACACCAAAACTTTCCTGCTCACATTCCAGAGGGCTTATCACGGGATGGCCTGGCAAATAGGGTGCCAAGTGTGCTTTTACACCGATAGGACCCATACCAGGACCACCACCACCGTGTGGTATGCAAAAAGTTTTATGTAGATTCAAGTGAGAGACATCACTGCCATAATCGCCGGGGCGACATAGACCAACCTGTGCATTCATATTAGCGCCGTCCAAATATACCTGTCCGCCATGTGTATGGATCAGATCACATATATCAGCAACAGTCTCCTCAAATACACCCATTGTGGATGGATAGGTGATCATCAGACATGACAAATCACTATTGTGCTCTGCTGCTTTGTCGCGTAAATGTGCCATGTCAATGCTGCCGTCGGAGAGAATACGTATAGGTTCGACTTTCATGCCAGCCATTTGTGCAGACGCAGGATTGGTGCCATGCGCCGAGATGGGAATTAAGCAAACATTACGATGGCTCTCATTGCGGTGTTCGTGATACCTGCGTATAGCGCGCAGGCCAGCGTATTCTCCCTGAGCGCCAGAGTTTGGTTGAAAAGAGATCTTATCATAACCGGTTATCTCACAGAGATCCTTCTCGAGTTCGCTGAACATTTGGTGATAGCCTTTAGCTTGTTCGACAGGCGCAAACGGATGTATATCGGTGAAGTGACGGAAGGAGCATGGAATCATCTCGGTAGTAGAATTAAGCTTCATAGTGCAGGAGCCGAGTGGTATCATGGAATGTACGAGAGAGATGTCTTTATTCTCCAAACGTTTCATATAACGAACCATGCGAGATTCGCTGTGGTGCGAGCTAAATATCGGGTGCTGCAGGAAAGGAGATGTTCGCAGGAACTTGGAGCGCTCGATGGAGTTTAAGAGTATATCCTGTGTGGCTAGTGTTTCATCCAACGACTTGCCCTTAAAGACCCACAAAAGATCATTAACGTCCTGCGGACCCACAGTTTCATCTAGTGCTACACCTATACTACCATCAGGGAAATAGCGGAAGTTAATGCGTTTCTGCGCGGCGCGCGTTTTGATCTCATCAATCGACAGGCTTTCCGATGGTGTGACATGCAGTGTGTCAAAGAAGTGTTTGTTATTTATTTGATGGCCTGCTTCACGCAGACCTGTTTGCAGCGCCAGCGTGAAGTGGTGTATACGATTAGCTATTTCTTTCAGCCCCTCAGAACCATGGTAAACCGCGTACATAGCAGACATATTGGCGAGCAACGCTTGCGCGGTGCAAATGTTGCTAGTGGCCTTGTCACGACGAATATGCTGCTCACGTGTCTGTAA